TGTCTCGAGGGTTCTTAAATATAATCATGTAATGGGCATTGAGACTGATCGTCCTGTGATGTTTACCTTTATGAAACAGATTTTGAACAATATAAATGACGGAAGTATTTTCGTGGTGACTTCCGCGGGTAAAGAGTTTTGATACTTTGTCCGTTGTCTCGTCCATCAAATCATCAATGATCAATAGTGTTCTTTCCTTGGGGTTTAGACTAGCGGATAACCCTTCGACAAATTCTACGATACCCGCTAATTCTTCGTACAAAGGTTGCCAAACACCGTAACACCACACGATACGATCTATGGGTTGATCGACAACTTGTGGTAGTTCTAGAATCAAGCGCCTGACCAATTGACTCTTACCCGATTGTGTGGGCCCTGATATCATACATGTAAATGGGGTCTTTAGCCTTACATCCATTTCGTTAGCCGGGGTAAAAATAACTAATTCCATTTAAAAATGTTTAATCTTTTATTATATCAAAGTACAAATGTAATACATATAGAAAATGAAAATTATAATCATAAAAAAAAAAAAAAAAAGTTATTTAGTCAACGTGTGAACACATTCTAGGATTTGAGGTTTCCAATACAACGTTGCGTGTAGAAACAACTCTTCGCTCTGATCGCGAATCTCAGGGACGAATCGTGCTATCTGTAAAAAACGATCTTTGTTCAACTCTAGAAAACAGGATTCGAAGTACAAGTCCACAAAGTTGATTTCATCGAACCAATAGTTGATCCCCAGGCATGTATGTTCAAGCTGCCCTCCACGACCATTGAGACAGCCTTCACAGCGACCGGTTACACTTTTTGAAATCTCCGTGTTGATCATGTCTCCCAATATTTGCACAACTAACGTACGTATATTTTCGGCAGGACAGTAATGATCGTCATTGACATGCATAGGTTTTGAGCACATGGTGCACGGTACGAGGTGTGTAACGTGTTCCTCCGCATCTACAAGATCCTCGTGGAAAATGAGTTGATTTTCGGCGTAGACCCCTTCTACGCGTACTTCCGTGCTGTAGCAATCAGGCTGGTCCCATCCTTCATTGTTTGCTGCAGAAACACAATCCTCTGGAGTATTGTGCCACGCCTGTCCAGATTTTAACAAACTCCAATCCTTTACCCCGAGACCCGACTTGGCAGGCGAACAACCATACACATGATAACGGCCGCGCTTGAACGACCTTGTAACTCGAGACACGCCTGTTAGGTCGGAAAAGGTTTTTTCGGGTATCACCAATTGTCTACCATTTTTTCTCTCCAGAACCATTTGGCGGGCGGTTCCCAGTTCACAGCTTAACTCACTGTTGATGGCAAATTTGGTAGGTTTTGTACAGGATAAATATCTTTTGAAACGATCAACAACCCGACTCCACTCTTTTAATGTCATCTTAAAAACCATTTTACGCTTCAACCCTAAATAACCAGCCTTCAGTAATATTTCAGGGGTTGTATTATCATTGTCCCCTAAACTCAATGTCAAACCGACTGAAACATCTGATATCTTGGGTGAAGCCATGCTGTTTCGTATGATAACTCAATAGTTAGGCATCTATTTATATATATATATACAACTCGTTATATTATTGGTTCGCACAGACCGACCAATACAAAATACGTTGGACAGAAATTATACACAAGTCTCCGCCTTTGCTAAGCCTACTACACCTAGGGGTGATTCCTCACCCGTAAAATTATTTTCACACAACTCTCTGAAGCTAACTTTCAATGCCTCCCATTGTTTCACGTTTAAATGAACACCCTTTCGGGTAGGTTTTGGCATTCGTTCCTCTTCACACCACCAAAATTTACGAATGTTGACTCCAGGGTATTTGTTGTCGATCGTTACGTACACGTCATTACCAATAGGCACTGATTTCTTTACAATGTTTTTTTGTAAATACTCATCTATCTCTGAGGCAGTGTTCATCAAGGCCTGCCATTGCCGCTCGAAAAACATGATACCATTGGGTGTTGGATATCTATCACTCTTAAAACCGTAACCATACAGTCTGATGTGATAACACACATCTTCTTGCCAAATACATTTTACAACCAAATAATCATTTCCAATATCCTTTCGATACAAGTCAATACTCATAATGTTAATCTCTTGTTTTCAACTTCATAAAACAATTCTACATTTGAACGTGTAATCAACCCCCTTTTATACCCAGATTTTCGAAACTTAAAACCAAAATTTAACTACACCCTGTCACAAATATGTAGATTAAAACTATTGGCTTAGAACAAAATCGACAAAATCACCTGTCAAGCTTAATGGCGGAGGTCATTGTCCCTTAATACAGGTATAACTACGCGTGACGTGAACTCAATGTAACCTCTGCACACCTGCCTATAAAGCGAAATATCTTCCCCCCCTACCCTCCAATAAACAATTCGAGGACCCCATACCCTCGTTACAAAAGTCAAACACGATCAAAGAATATAACACCTGCAGACCTTTTTTATTATTCATAACCTCATTGTTCAGTCAACAATAACCATATTCAAACTATAAATAGAACACCTGTGGAATGCTCTGACGTCAGACCTTAGGAATGTGTGACGTCAGACCTTTGGAATGTCTGGAATTCCAAAATTGCTCCAGACTACTGCACATACTACTTAATATCTTAGAGAATTTTACAACAAAAGCGTGTATGGTGTTAATTTATGTCAACATGGATATACATGTCGTGCCTGACATATATGACATGCCAATATTAATATCTACCTGTCACTTATATACCATGGCAGCTTGTTGTCTACACACGAAACTCGTTTATACGGGATTAAAGAATGTGTGTTCCGTTCTTACTTCCATAATTTTAAATTCCTTTAAGCCAGCAACGTCAAAATTGTATTAAAGCCTCCGATTGTCATGTGCATTTTTGAGACAATATTTAATTCGTCACGGATTAAAGATGCCTTATGTAAGATTTAGATAAAATGTTCGCCGTTCTTGCTATAATAGTTTAAAGATACATTATGTAATGAAATGAAATGGGGTTTAACATCCTACTGTTCTGCTCCAACTGGGCTAATGAAGATGGGCATACGCCATACAGTGTGCTGTGAGGGCAATTTTGCCCAGACAGCGGCACTATGGCCTACTCTTATATCGAATTCCAACTGCCAAGGGATCTTTTACGTGGATTTGAATTTTCGCCCCTCCGTCCTGCACCAATGACAAAGGGGAAACCGCGTCGGAAAATTCCATTGAACTTTCTCGGCCAATGCAGAGATCGAACACACGACCTCCATGCTAGCGAGCCAGCGTCTTACCCACTTAGCCACCGTGGCTCCTACATTATGTAAGATTTAGATAAAGAACTGGTTGTCATTGTTATAATAATTAAAAATATAGATAATGCAAAATGAACATATTTAAAATTTAAAATGTTCTGAGCGAAGTTTTGACAAGATGTGGAATAGATTGTTTATTATCGTGGAAACGGTAGCCTACATGTTAATCGAGACTCAGCCTCCATCCACCATTTTTAAATTAAATCATTAAATGACGATCGGGTTTAAATCTCTGTCATTCGATGGTGTGGAGAGTCTATTATAGGCTTGTCATGAGAGAGAATGAATGAATGAAATGTGATTTTATGGCACGTCAGCTCCAACCGGGCTATATTGCGCCAAACATATGGTGAATATTACGAGACAGGCTAAATTATATCACAGAAAAACTTTATATGCATAAATAAAAACAATATCACAGTTAATACAATTAAAAATAAAATATAACTTTTATGCATATAAATATTAAATATAAAAATGATATGATATATATATACAATTAAAATTTATGATAAAATCCTGTCTCTTTTAAAAAGTCTAACGCTTTATCATATAAACCCGGTTGGGTGTCATGAGAGAGAGAGAGGGGGGGGGGTAAGGTCCACTCGACACAAACTAACCACCCGACTTGTCATGTGATAAATATCTAAATAATAGTTTGGCCTGCAATAGACAGATATAGCTCTTGTATAATGTATCTTTCAGCCAAGTCAAATTGATTGTAGGATACTCAAAGTGATTTTTTAACATTTAGTAAAGAAAACAAAATATTAACGGCCTGGATTTATTCAGATTAAAGAAGCCCATCAAACGATTTTATCCGACGATAATGAGTGGCACTGGCTTCTTTATATCACCTGCAGATATCTTTGTGTACACACATATCTTTGTGTACACAGAAGGGGACCGGGCCATATTAGGGCTGATATTCCTTTTAACATACATTATAACGTCACATTAATAATGATGTTATCGTAATAATCATATTAAACATGCATTATGCAAGAGCTAAATCTGCCCATTGCAGGGCCCTGTTTCTCGAAATCTTAACTAAAGATAAAATCCAAATTTTAGTAGATACTTCAATTTTGATTGGCTAAGCACTAAAATCAATCTAATATTATCCAATCAAATTACTAAAATTTGGATTTTATCTTAGTTAAAATTTCGTGAAACAGGCCCCTGGTCTTTCTTTTGGCCTGAAATGTTATCTAAATTATTAATTGGACATATAATTAATTTATCCAGACTATAATCAACTGTGAAGCTGATACAGAGACTGCTCCTCCCCGCCGTCTCCCAACACACACGCACGCACGCACATTCAAAACCAAGATAATCTTTTCAGTGATCTTAAAGATCCTAATCTGACCCTGTATTTAGTCTATGAAATGACCTTAGGCAGATGCAAACTGTCCCGCTTTGTCACATAACACGCCTACCTCGTGGCACTGCCAATTTGTATGCGAATCATCCACTTGTTTTTTTAATTCTAAGAGCGTCATATTTAATTACTGTATGCATAATCATATCAACAATCCACACTTCAGGATATAACGCTACCTGATCATAAATAAATAATATTCGCGCCACAAGACCACACCTTCTGTGTCTGCTTGAGTAGACCACGTGACTTTATACTGGACCAATCAAATCGTTCTGAGGGATGGTAACCTGGTCTCACACACTCAACTACGTTATTCAGTGAAATGATATATAGCACATGTGTTGGGACTGTACGCTGTTATGACTGACTCCGACTGACTGAATAATGTCGGCAATGAATGGATTACATGTTATCAGCGTTCGACTGATTTTTATAACAACTTTACTACTACCGTTAGGTAAGTTTAAACATATTATCTTTTCTACCATTTTAATATCGATTTGTAGGCCTGTTATGTCTAGGCCTATTCAATTTATTCACCGGCAATTGAATATTAGAATATTGACCCCTTCATTCAATGTTTTGGCTCGTCTAACCCAACATACTCTACATGTGTATAAGCCGTGTTCATTAACAATTTTACCGTTATTAACATTTATTAACCATTCTACAGTAGATATTTAACTCTCATACATAAAATATCATATCTTGTTATTCATGTCATGTACATATGTTTATATTGTATTATTATGTCCACAATGGATGTTTCGATACAATAAAATCTAATCTTAAGTTATCTTATCTTATTCTACTGAGCGATATCTCCTAGGAGACATCGCTTTACATGAAAATTGATTGGTCATTTAAAAAGGATGGATAGGGTTGGTGTAATAATTAACAACTTTTAATCAAAAAATATCAACACTCGTCGATAAAGTAAAAACAAAACTCGGCACCTCGTTCTTTTTTACATTATCGACTTGTGTTGATATTTTGTGATATCAAAAAAAAAGACCCACGTAAGAGATTCTCTATTCATGTTGCTGTCTTTTCAATTTTATTCAACAACCCAGATGGTTATTGAACCCTGGATGTTTCGGCTTGTCTAATGCAAATATAAGAGTTTACCGTGTTTGTGTTTGTAGGCTATGTGAGGCCTTTTTTTTACGGATGACAGTAGAACGTAATAAGATACATTCAGCGACAACGTTTTTTTTTTACGGATGACAGTTGAACGAGAATAGAGATACAATCAGTAACAACGTGTTTTTTTACTGGATTTGAATTTTACTGTGTCATGATCGGGTAGCCTATTTATTTCTGGATAACAAATTAATGAACAGATATGAAATGGGGTTTAACGTTCTACTGTTCTGCTCCTACTGGGCTAATGAAGATGGACATACGCCATACAGTGTGCTATGAGGGGAATTTTGCCCGGGTAGCTGCACTATGGCCTACTCTTAAATTGAATTCTAACTGCCAAGGGATCTTTTACGTTCACGTCAATATATACGCGGGACCTCGGGTTTTCGTCTCTATCCTGCGTGGCTCGAAATAAATATATCAGTATTCTCAACATTGTAAGCTACGTTCGAATATAATACATATACTCGCCTGCGGTTAGTGCTAAATGATAAGGCTAGCTCACTTTTTCGTCATAGGTCACGAGATGTAAACAAGGCTATCGCTAATCCTAACCCAGGACCTAGCCCTAATGCTAACCCTAACCCTAACCTACAATCACGCCAACAGTCACGTGCCCTAACCTTATTTACACCTGCCCTTAACAAATAGATTTACCCCTCGCCTGTATCTCACGAGTCGTACTCAGGCCTCAGGGGTATGAACTCGGGTGTAAGAAAATAAATATTATATTACGTAGCCTACAGGTTGGATCTTCTGTTATTGTCACAAAATGTCCATGATTTATGACTGATATGACAGGTTAATGAAAAGTTTATGTTTTTTTCTTAAAACTATCACTCAATGACGTCTGTTTTTTACGTGCTAAAAAAGGAGGGTGGAGAGTATAAGAGTAAAAGACTGCCATTGAAAGCTACACGTCCCTGCTTTTTAAGTTGACATTTATTTATTTAAAATAATATTTGACTTTTAAATTATGAAGATGTTTCTCGAACAAAAGACATCTTGAATGACATCACTGAAGCAGAACTAAAATATGTTGTATTGTTCTTGTCATCGATTTTACGCAAGCAGACGACAGAGTATACGGTGTGGTTAGTTCGTGACGAAGTGCTCGCTGCCATGCGGTATGAATCATTGGTGCTATTGAACTGTGGTAGCATCATGTCGACAGCTTGTCGTTGCTATAAAAAAACAATATGACTGTATGAAGTACATGACAAAAACGATCTCACGTTTTTTTTTTCTTTTTTTGTGTAAACAAAGTAAACTGACTCTAGTTAAGGTCTCGTGAACACGGCGCGGCCATCTTGGTACTGTCAAATAATCTGGGTGTTTGTTCTGTAGGTACAGATATGACTTGGATATAGTGTCTCAGGCTGAAGATACACCCATCCCCCCGCCCACTCCCTCTGTCTGGACCTTTCAGCAGAGACCCCACCCCTCTCCCTTGGTGTCCCTTTCCACTTTCCAGCTACTAGGGACGCCCGTCCCGTCATCGATTTACCGAGCACGCATGACAGTATGACGGTGTAGTTTGTCAGTGGATGGTCAGACGTGGTTACGATAAACAACCAATCCACACATATTGTCAAAACTATAAACAGTATATCTTTATTTTACATTATCTAGTTTTTTAAAACTATTATCTAAATCTTACATAATGTATCTCTAATAATAAGTCCTGTTTTTAAAGTTCGTGTATAACGTTACCATATCCCCACCCCCACCCCATTCCTCGATCTCCGATTTGTTTTCTGTGAATCCTCAACAATGTCATATATTGTAATTTTAAAGGAGCTAAATCGCTAATATTTGGGACTTAGAAATTGAAACAAATGGGTCGCAACGCATACGATAATGTAATATGAATGTATATAAATTGATTTACATGGAATCGTTTCTGTTTTTACTGTAATTTCTAATCAGTTAGGTTCGGCGAAATACGCCAGAAGTCTCAATCGACTGGCAATCTCTAGCGTCTGGTTATTCCAGTCTACGCCGATAGTATTTATTGCGTATGCTCTCCAGATAAGAATATAGCGTCACCGTTTGACATAACTTGTGGAATATGCCTAGCGTCGTTTTTCTAGTCCCTTATTACAAATAGCGCTGAAACGCATTATGGTACACGATTAATGTTTATTTTGTCTTCAATATTGGATATCAGAAGCCCATCTTTTCCCGGTAAGATCACAACATCAATGTTGATTTAAACCGACAAATAAATCGTGTTTTTAATGTCGAATATTTTGGATGATATTGATTTAGAGACTTAGCTACTCTAAATTCAATTTATAATAGTCAGTTGTTTACTTTTTACATCAGCAAAAATCCCAACAACAAAAAACAAGCCCTTTATTCATCTTATTAACCTTTTTAATGGGCCTATTGCCTGTAGCTATGTATCGACACTATCAAGACAATATATAATATCAAAAATATCATCTTAAAGAATGGGGAAGTCAATTAGGAGTACAAAAGGTCATACAATTTAAGTTCATAGAATGACAAAGCAAGTATATTTTTATTAATCAGACACGGTTGAACGAACATGGCTGTACGTCACGACTATTTTGATCTAGAACTATGTACATGAGTTTTAAAATCGAACGTGTACCGCCTAGGAAATGTAAAAATGAAAATATTTTGTTCAACAAAGGTTTCTTTTGACAAATGGGATGTCATCGAATCCTGATGAATTATTAGTATGGTATATATTATATTTAAATTCGGGATGTTCTTATCTCTAATCTCAAAGGGTAAACAATAGGATATAGAAATCAAATGAAATGAAATGGGGTTTAACGTCCTATTGTTCTGCTCCTGTTGAGCTAATGAAGACGGGCAAGATACGCCATATAGTGGGCTATGGGGGAAATTTTACCCGTTCAACGGCACTATGACCTACTCTTATATCGAATTTCAACTGCCCAGGAATCTTTTACGTGAACGCCAATGTATACACGGGTCCTCGGTTTTTCGACCCATCCGAACGACTAGAAGCTGTCCTTGTCGGGATCTCTGTTTTGCATCACTCACAAAGGCGAAACCACGCCAGAAAATCCAGATGAATCTTCTTGCCCAATGCAGGGATCGAACCCGCGATCTCCAGGCCAGCGTTTTACCAATTGAGCCACAGACAAATATTGGGGATGTAACAAATAATAGACGTAGTAAATATAATTTGATTGAACGAAAGAATAAATAAAGAAATGAATTAATGAATGAAATGGGGTTTAATGTCCCTCTTTTCTGCTTCAACATGGCAAATGCAGACGGGGATACGCCATGCAGAGTGCGATGATGGACTTTATCCCAGACAACAACTGAATTCCAACTGTCAAGGGTTCTTTTACGTGCACGCCAAGGTGTACGCGGGACCTCGGTTTTCGTTTCATCCGAACGACTAGACAGCTGCCGATTTCCAGACCACTGACAAGAGGAAACACATACAAAATTTGAATATTTGTGTCGTATTACTAACATTAGATTTAAAATAAAATAAAAACAGAAACTCTGGAGGGGTAACTGGGGCTTTAACGGCCTTGGGCGTTTCACACCAATTAGTGTAGATTTCTAAGATTTGTGCTGCCCTGCCCTAAATACAAGCGATTTAACACATGATATTAATAGTAGGGACAGTTTATCCACCCATTTTCAGCTGTAGTCGCTGTAGGCTGTTATATACGTGAATGAACTGTGGTCTAAATGTGAAATATGATTTCTAGTATATTTATAGAAATAAACAATCAAGGTGTATAACCCATGTTTAACCACAAGCTAATCGTATATATATTTTCTCCCGTTTTCATTAGCCCAGTCGGAGCAGAACAGTAGGACGTTAAAAGCCATTTCGTTTTATTTTTATATATTTTCTTTGAAAAAGTGAAGCCATGGTGACCCAATGAGTATAGCGCTGACCCAATAACAAGGGTGACGCAAGTTCGAGCCTGACGTGGACCGAAAAGATTTCCCGGTCTAGTTTTACCATTGACAGTTGTGAGGACGTATGAGAACGAAAAAACCGAAGTCAATCCGTTTACGCGTTGACGTGCATGTGATCAGAAAGGCCGCTGGCCGTCCAACTTATTATTCTGCGTAGTACACTGCATGGCGTATTTCCCCGTCTTCCGCAGCCTGGTTGACACAGAGACAGAATCTGATGCGTTAAACCGATCTACACAAATCTGAGATAATCTTATACATGAATAGACGGTATACAGTACTTCACAATTCCGAGACTTGCATATGTGTTTTTCTCCTAATTCCAACCTCAGATTTTCGTCCTATCCGAACGACAAGACAACT